TGATGATGGTGTGGGTGGTGGTTGTGTTGTTGGTAAGAATAGTGATGGTGCAGAGTGTGTTGGTGGTGGAGGGAGTGAATGTGGTTGTTGTGGTGATGGAGTGAGGGTGGTTGTGGTGGTGGAGTGAGAGTGGTTGTGGTGGTGGAGTGAGGGTTGTTGTGGTGGTGGAGGGAGTGAGTGTGGTTGTTGTGGAGGAAGTGGGGATGGGGGTAGGTTATGGTGGTGAAGGTAGTGAGGGTGGTTGTTGTGGTGATGGAGTGAGGGTGGTTGTGGTGGAGGGAGGGAGTGAGGGTGGTTTTTGTGGTGGAGGGAGTTAGGGTGGTTGTGTTGGAGGGAGTGGTGGTGGAGGGAGTGAGCGCTGTGCTACGTGTCTGGGTCCGCCTGACAGACCCGTGCATTTACTTGAGTATTGATTTTCAGCGGGTACACCTGGAGTCGCCCGGTCTCGGTGCATGTTGACTGCATTTTGACGCTACCTGCCTGTACTCTGCCAACACACTGTAGCTTCCTGCCTGTACTCTGCCAACACACTGTAGCTTCCTGCCTGTACTCTGCCAACACACTGTAGCTTCCTGCCTGTACTCTGAAATACACTGTAGCTTCCTGCCTGTACTCTGCCACCACACTGTAGCTTCCTGCCTGTACTCTGCCACCACACTGTAGCTTCCTGCCTGTACTCTGCCAACACAGCTTCCTGCCTGTACTCTGCCAACACCTGTAGCTTCCTGCCTGTACTCTGCCAACACACTGTAGCTTCCTGCCTGTACTCTGCCACCACACTGTAACTTCCCTGCCTGTACTCTGCCAACACACTGTAGCTTCTGCTGCTCTCTGCCTGTGCTCTGCCACCACTGCTGGCTTCCTGCTGTACTCTGCCACCACCTGGCTTCCTGCCTGTACTCTGCCAACACACTGTAGCTTCCTGCCTGTACTCTGCCACCACTGTAGCTTCCTTGCTGTACTCTGCCACCACACTGTAGCTTCCTGTTAATACTTTGCCAACTTTTTTCTTGGCTTCCTGCCCTACGCCTTCCTGCCTGTGCCACCACACTGTAGCTTCCCGCCACTCTGCCAACACACTGTAGCTTCCTGCCTGTACTCCTGAAACACACTGTTGCTTCCTGCCTGTGCCACACACTGTAGCTTCCTGCCTGTACTCTGCCACCACTCCCTGCCTGTGCTCTGCCACCACACTGTAGCTTCCTGCCTGTACTCTGCCACCACACTGTAGCTTCCTGCCTGTACTCTGCCACCACTATACCCACCACTGTACCCTGCCACCACTGTACCACCACCACTGCACCTAAACACCACTGCTGCCGCACCTGGCCCTGCCACCATTGTACCCTGCCACCATTACCTGCCACCACTGCCACTTACCACCAATGTACTTTTCTACTCCCTGAAGCCACACCTCCTCATGTACCTTACCACCACTGCACCCTGCCACCACTGTAACCTGCCACCACTGTACCTTGCCCCACCGTACTCTGCCACCACTGTATCCTACCACCACTGCACCCTGCCACCACTGTATCCTACCACCACTGCACCCTGCCATCACTGTACCCTGCCATCACTGTACTCTGTCACCACTGTATCTACCACCACTGTTCCCCGCCTCCACTGTACCCTACGCCACCGTACCCTGCCACCACTGTACCTTACCACCACTGCACCTTACCACCACTGCACCTTACCACGACTGTACCTTACCACCACTGTACCCTGCCACCACTGTACCCTATCATCTCGCTCTCTGCTCCACGCGTTCCCTCTGGTGCCTGGCTCCTCCCTTACTCGCTAATCTTATTATAAACCTTTCTACAGATTTTACGTTTATGTTATACAATACAAGGAGGAGTTTGTATCCTTGGGACTGACTCATTGACTCACTCACTCACACAATTTCTTTATTAACTCTATGAACTCACCACCAGTTCATTGTTGTGGGTGCTCTTGTATCTGTTGTAGGAGCTGAACCAGTTACTGAAAGCACGATTAGGTTTTCTGTCTTGCTTCCAGGCAGGGTGGGGGGGGGACTTCTGTTTTATTCATCTTTAAAAATCCTTTCATCCATTTATATCGTGGTCAAGACGTCAGGTGGTCTAATGTACACTCAACGGTTTCCCAGTAAAATGAACGTAACCATTGGAAAACGAATGAATATGGTGCCGAGACTAGGTTTTATTCAATACCTTCCCTCAGTTTTTATTTATTTTTTTTTTTTTGTTAATCTTAGTTGCTGGCCTCGTGATGTCATTGCTTATTAGAGTAACACATGAGCTGAAGGTTTGGTATTCGATAAGGTTTGATGGCTTTTTGATTGGCCGATATTAAAGCTCCTGGGAATGCATTTTTTTCTTCAATACTTTTGCTACCTGGAAAATACCCTCTTTAATTTTTATTTTGTTGTTCTTATGATAGATTACCTTTTAAATTTTCTGACTCATGCATGGTTATTGCCGACGTCAAGAAATATTATTTTATGTCTAAGTAAACACAAACACCGGCAGTACACGTGGGTGGTAAAGCTGTACCTCATCTCCAGAGTGCCCCCCCAGAGAGAACCATTTCCGCAGCAGCCAAGTAAAATCTGCTTGATAAATCCGTAGAGTTATTTACCTGTTGGACACGAGCCGTCCTTAGGTGGCAAGGCCGAGACTAGTCCAGCATTCAGCACACGTTGAAAACTAGTTATGGACTCGTATAATTCTTCCTGGTCAGTTTTGTACTCATAAAATCTAGTTTAACACCCGTTTGTGACCGCCGAAATACCTAGGTTTATCATTTCTCTGTCAACAAGGAGATGTTGAACAGCAACTATCTGCCGCTAAAAATATCCCGACAACCATTCCTTGTTACCAGAAGCCTTTTTCACCACCACCACCTATATCTATCAAAGAAGCCCACACAGTCACCTTCCTAAATAACAAGAAATGTGTATAACTCTCTCACCGTCAACACACATTTTTGTACATGAGCTCTGTGTTGTAATACTTTTCCTACAAGAGCTCTCTGTGACTCTTTGTGGGAGTTCTAGAGCCCCTTGGGAGTTGAGAGCCCAAGTCAGGTGGACGAGGTAGTAGTCTTGAGGACATTGTTAACACTCGAGACCCTCCACACACCATGGTTAGGTTACGTTACGTTAGGTGAGACACATAGGTTAGGTTAAGTTAGTTAAGATAGGTTAGGTTAGGTGAGACATTTAGGTTAGTTTAGGTTAGGTGAGACACATAGGTTAGGTTAAGTTAGTTAAGATAGGTTAGGTTAGGTGAGACATTTAGGTTAGGTGAGACATTTAGGTTAGGTGAGACACATAGGTTAGGTTAAGTTAGTTAAGATAGGTTAGGTTAGGTTGAGACATTTAGGTTAGGTTAAGTTAGGTTAAGATAGGTTAGGTGAGATATTTAGGTTAGGTGAGACACATAGGTTAGGTTAAGTTAGTTAAGATAGGTTAGGTTAGGTGAGACATTTAGGTTAGTTTAGGTTAGGTGAGACATTTAGGTTAGGTTAAGTTAGTTAAGATAGGTTAGGTTAGGTGAGACATTTAGGTTAGTTTAGGTTAGGTGAGACATTTAGGTTAGGTTAAGTTAGTTAAGATAGGTTAGGTTAGGTGAGACATTTAGGTTAGTTTAGGTTAGGTGAGACATTTAGGTTAGGTGAGACACTTAAGCCAATAAGAAATCGTTCATATTTTAATACTGTGAAGAAAATACGTCTTGAGTAGTGAAGAAGTGATAACAGTATAGTGAGGTGTGGTGGTTGTATGTTGTGCCGTGTGGTGGTTGTATGTTGTACCGTGTGGTGGTTGTATGTTGTACCGTGTGGTGGTTGTATGTTGTACCGTGTGGTGGTTGTATGTTGTGCCGTGTGGTGGTTGTATGTTGTGCCGTGTGGTGGTTGTATGTTGTATGTATGTGTACCGTGTGGTGGTTGTATGTTGTGCCGTGTGGTGGTTGTATGTTGTAACGTGGTGGTTGTATGTTGTACCGTGTGGTGGTTGTATGTTGTGCCGTGTGGTGGTTGTATGTTGTGCCGTGTGGTGGTTGTATGTTGTACCGTGTGGTGGTTGTATGTTGTACCGTGTGGTAGTTGTATGTTGTGCCGTGTGGTGGTTGTATGTTGTGCCGTGTGGTGATTGTATGTTGTACCGTGTGGTGGTTGTATGTTGTGCCGTGTGGTGGTTGTATGTTGTGCCGTGTGGTGGTTGTAAGTTGTGCCGTGTGGTGATTGTATGTTGTAACGTGTGGTGGTTGTACAGTATATTGGTTGTATCTGGTAAAATGCCGTGGTTGTGTTGTGACATGTGGTGGTTATAATTTATGACGTGTGGTTTCAGAAATAGGTACTGTAGCAGATGTGAACAAATATACCAGTTATAAACATTAATTCATCTCCACTGTTATTTTCCATACAGGTCTGGAAGTCATGAAATGTGATGTGAGTTATCCGTAGGTTTATCCCACATACCTCGCACTTCCCTTCAGGTGGTGGCCACATGCACTAGCTCCCCTTTCCATTATCTATTTGTTATTCTGAGTGTTGTTTATACGTTGTCTGTTGTAGAGACTAAGATCTAGTGTACTATTGTTGCTTAATAAAAAAAAAAGTAAGTGTTCAGGTTATATTTCAATCGACATAAGAGGGGGGCCATTTTGCATGTTGTGTAGAATTATGCTTTTCACATGTTAAATTATGAACCGTGCTGATGTATAACCCTTGGAAGAGAATGAATGGGAAGTTTTTGTTTTGTGTCCAGTGTATTATTGTGGCTAAAGACAGGTACTTTCTTGTTTACTTCAGTTGGTTTAATATGTTGTCTCTTTTTCTTTTGTTATAGACATTACTTCCATCTATGGCTTTTCATCTTTTTTGTCCTTTATTGCTTCATTTATCGTGAATCTTTTCAATCTTTAGTTGCCATTTGATTCTGTGTTAGATCATATTTACTGAAGCTTCAGGACCATATTATTGAAAGGCAATAAACATTACACAAGTTTTAAAATGCAGCAATTTATTTGCATCATTGGAATTTTGTTATTTCTTACAAAAATAGGAATCTTGTATAAACGTTCAAGTTTAATACAAAAATTGGGTTGCATTGATGGCATCCACTGTCTGCACATGAGAACATGACAGATAAATTAATATTAAAAGCATTATTTTCATACAATATGTACAATATAACTTACTATAAATATAGCTTTAAATTACATTATTTACAACTTCTCTTAGAGAAAAAATGAGACAAGAACATTGGCCAGGCCCGAGGGCATATAGACGAATGTTGCCGAGGCTTTGGTGAGATAAGTGTGCACTAGGCACAAGGGTCCCTTACTGGGGGGTTAGCACCGATCAGGCTAGGGGAACCTGAGGGCGCCGCCCCGACACCTTGGAGACGGGACGGGGCGGAGCTGCGAGGTATGGCGACCAGCGCCTCCGGGTGGGGACAAGAGAATCTAAGAAGAGGCTGGGTTCTGACGGGGTTCATCAGGGCGCCTACCCTCCTCCCGGCCGTCAAAACTCTGACTCTGACTCGCGGGAAGCGTCGCTGCCCGTTGAGTGCTTATCCAGAGAGGAGGCATCACTGTCTAGCAAGGAATCAGAGAAGAAATCCATGGGTCCTAGGGAACCACCCATGCACCCTACGAGGCCCGCTCCAGAATCCCTGGGTCCCTTCATCCATGGGTGCTGAAGGATCTGCTCTAAGGATGGTCTGTCTTCAGGTCGGATGCGTAAACAGAGGCGGATAAGGTTCTGGCACTCTTCGGAGACGGGGATGCGAAAGTTTAATCTCGCGGACAGGATCTGGTCGTCCTGAGCGAAGGGAATGTCGCCGGTGACCATGTCGTACAGCAGGATGCCCAGAGACCAGACGGTGGCAGGTCCGGCTTGGTATTGATTGTGCTGGATCCACTCGGGAGGTGCATACACTTTGGTACCTGAAACAACAAGAGAAGACACCATTAGCAATTGTAGAATGACACAAATCACTGATTGGGCAGCGGTCGGCGTGACCACTCCGCCTAAAATTACTCCCAGTGTCGGGGAGGGAGAGGGGGGGACGCCCCCCGGTGGCGGCGGCGGGTCGCGTGAGGTGCTGGCGCGGCGCCACGGTAACCTGACGCCAGGCGCCGCCTCGACCCGCCGCTACGCCACCAAACCCACCAGGTGACGCCCGTTATGACTCAACACCCCCCCCCCCTCCTACATATTTACTTTAACAACATATTTCAAAAATATATAATGATGTATAAGTGATAATTGTCGAAACTCACCTCCGTCAAAGTCTGTGTAGATGCTGTCCTTAAGGAATGCTCCGGAGCCGAAGTCAATAAGCTTGAGAACCTTTCTGCCTTGTCTGTCTGTGCTAATGAGAAGGTTTTCATCTTTGATGTCTCTGTGGATGACCCCGGCGGCATGACACTGCTTCACCACATCAACCACTTGGCGGAAGAGGTACCGTGCTTCTGGTTCGGGCACCTGCTTCCTATCGGAGATGTAGTCGAAGAGATCTTTCACGGCCTCAGGTCGCTCCATAACGATGACGAAGCAATCTGCCAGCTCGAACCAGGCAATGAGCTTGATCACTCCTGGGATATGTGATACTTTCCTTAGCAGACAAATCTCGAGGGGGACTCGCTCACCTTTGATCTGTAATACAAGAAGTACAAAACATGAACCCAATGCACAAAGTTACACAACATATTTCCAGCCATTAGCTATATCCATTACATAATGCAAAGACTAACTATGTTAAACCTCAAAAGCTTTTCCAGAAGTCACACACACAAGCGAACATATTTTTCTATACCCACCCCTGATTCCCCATAAGCTGGGCTTATTCCAGGAAGCAGGATCAGGCTACTTTCACTTGGCAACTGGCACGAGTCTGACTAGAGTGTTTGGCAACAAAAGTCTCCCGGTCTCTCCTGTTTTCCCTGACCCATCAAGTAATGTTTGTTGCGATGCTCCAATTACAGATGCAGTATGACCTGTTCACTACTGCCACGTAAAGGCTCACTAATGAAGTTAAGCAACGTTCAAGGCCAAAAAAATTATAAATAAAACACATTCACACGGTCAGGGCACAAAGTAACAAGTGGGAGCGCATGTTTTAAGTCCGTCTCTCCTTATCAATATAAGCGCTTTGATGAATTCCAAGACGTGTCTCCGTTGCTCCTCACGAGGTCGGAGCGACGCTTCGCCATGACGACAGACTGGGAGAAGTGGGTTTTACCGCCCTCTCCCCCACCCGCTGCCCCCACCACCATCCTGTCCAGTCACCATGCGTTTAGTATCGTGTTGCCAACGTACCTCGAGTTTTCAATATAGCCCGTTTTATGTCTAAACCACAGTTTACACAACGATCACTGTGTTAACTTGTGGTGTACAATGTTCCGCTGGTCATCATTTGCAAACAATCCTCTTCCCCTAGTCTGCAGGAGCTTAAAGTCCTTGGTAATCCGCCCCCAGACTGAGCGCGTGACCTCTGGACCACTCCTGTACCTGTCGCCAGTTATTGTACTCTGCACTCTCAGCTCGCTCAAATTTAGAAATATATCAGTTATATCTTATGTTGTACTTGTAGTTTACTAATTAATCACATGTGTCTTGGGCCAGGACGAGTAAACAATAACAATGTGCGTTAGATGCCATAGTAAACAGAAGTGTATACCCAGATCCTTCAGGAACTATAAATAAGTTCTTGCGCAACACCGTAAGGCGACGAAGGACGGACTCGCCACATCGATTTGAAAGTCATGATCCGAGGCTCCGTGAGTGAAACCAAACATTCTCCCTTGGGCCCTCTCAAAAATTCAACCCCCCCCCCCTCCCCTCTCCCATCCCGTCAGCCTCGCGCCAGCTGTGGATGACCCTGTATCACCTGTACAGCAAATATATACCAACGAAGTGTTTATATATTATATAAAACGTAGCCTCGCACTACTCGTCCCAGTACACCATAAGTAAACTTTTCAATGTACCCAAACACGTCACGCGAAACACTTATCACGACTTAAATCTCAACACGCAAATACACTAAAAACTCCCCGAGCAAGAAATATGAATCTCAAATATGCACACAAGGACGGAAAACATAACAACGCACCTGCTCTGTGGTGCAAGACCTTCCCACCATTCACTTATCACACGTGTCAACTTAGTTCGACGCACCTGACCCATATAATACAAACACAGTAAGAACCATCATATTTACTGACACCAATTCCTGTTTGACGAGGTCATGCAAGAATTAGATGCGTCGCATTTTATCCCATTGCGCCACTTGTTGCTAGGAGCAACACCACCACTAACTCCCCCTCACTATTACTTTCCAATCTACCCCATGTTTTGATTTCTCCTAAGTCATCCAGTCCACACACAGGCCAAGTGACTTGGCCTCCTTAAGTGACCAGGACACAGCCGTGCTCTGCCACTACCACACCCGTGTGATCGACATCTACAAGAGAAACATTCGATACACACACGAGGTGATGCGGCAAGCCCTGGAAGTAGGTTACGGTGGCGCTTCGTCTCCTCAACCTCATACACCAAGGACTTCTATTTTAACACACTTTTTGATTTCATAAAATCAATGCCATTAATTTCCTTTCACAAATTCAATTTAGGATATATTTTTTTCAGCCAGTCATGTTTTCAGTTTTCACGTATTCGCTTGTGCGTGCACTTCTACATCACTGTCGTTAACACAACAATTTTAAATGTGACAGCAACCCGTCACTTAACAAACAAGTTTCAACTTACCGTTCCCCAGGCTGGAACTCGGGACTTCGCCACCTGCTTGATGGCCACAGGCAGGTTGTCTTTGATTCTGAAACCAGCATACACACGTCCGAAACCACCTTCGCCCAAAACCTCATGTTCAACTCTGTACTGGCGATCGAAGGGCTGCTGTGTGTGGTGATTGTGGTTGTTGTGGTGATGGTGGTGGTGATGGTGGTGGTGGTGATGGTGGTGGTGTTCCCGGACTGGCATGGGCACTGTAATAAGGAAAGAAAAGATGCCCGTTAGTACTGCAATTTAGTACTGCAATAACAAACATTTAGAGTAATTGTAATTAATATAACACTTTTTTCCACTTATAAGAAAATATCTGCACCAAAAAATCAGAGTTCACTAGACACCAACCTTGTTTGACCTTTTCTTGTGGGATGCCCATTACTGGGCCTGCGTTGAAATAATTATTCACTGAAGTAAACACTTTAAACATACTATCCACTGTCAACACTGCCGTGGACTTGTATACAGATAATCCAATGTTCGCAGCGGAAATCTCGCACTCAAAGATCAACGACTGGTTAGACCGACTGAGAGAAGGCGTAGTACGCGCCTCCGTGGTCAACGTAGTACTATTCGTGAGATGTTCAGAGCTAGAGCTTTTATTGCGCCGAGTATCACTCCGCCAACCTCCACTAAAATACCTAATAACATTAGCGCGTTTATTTATTTTCGATTTTTGTGATGGTTAATCTTATAAAAATTATAAAAATAATTAGTTTTAGCATTAAAATGATAAGAAAAATATATGACATTAGAGCCTTTCCGAAAAGATGAGGCCAGACGTGGAACTAGTTTGCGCGGAGTGGTACTGTCTCGGTCGGACGTCGCGCGGAGTTTGTGACGTCACTCTCTGGCTAGCCTGGTATTCAATACAAACTCCGAGTTGCATACGTATACGCTCACGCTCACGTGCGTATATGCGCTACTGCCATCACCGTGAATATGTTTTGTGTTTAATAAGCTTAAATCATACATTTAGGCCTCTGTTTAGGTGTTGAGAGAGGCTGGGGAGGATATCCGGGGAAGGGCGTGCGAGGAATGCGAGGCGAGCGCGGGTAGTCCGTTAGCCGTGACTCTGTGGATGGCGGGCAAGCCCACCCTGACTCGCCAACCTCCTCTTCTAGGCTCCTACCGCTGCGTCTGCCCGATGCTTCTCTCAACGGGTGTCCCTACTCCCACATTAACCCTGCAGCCCATACACGACAGCCCCTAAATCTCTCCTACCGCATATGTTTAATCCAATCCTGCCGCCCTCGACTCCCACCTACTTCCTTCCTCTCCATGCATCAGTCATCTCCTCTGCCGTTCCCGCCCATTCGACTACTAGTGATAGCATTACGTTCCTCAGAATTGAGAGAGATTCGGATGAAACTTTCATGAAGGGGGGGATTTGTCGTGTGCCTGGCGTGTCCGTGAACTTGTAGCCACACGGGCTGCAAGCAAACTCGCCCAGGACTGCATTCGGACCCAACCCGTATCGATTTTCCTACGACACTCCGAATTCGCGTTTAAAAATGCAAAAAGTTGTTGTGTCTGTGGCTCCCTCGCTACTGCTCCTGCCTGGCTGTGTGGAGGAGGCAGGGGAGAGTACGAAATAGGGAGGGGAGGGGTGGCAGGCAAAAGCAGGAGGTAGAATGAAGAGGAAGGGAAGACTGACGTGCAAAATGGAAAAGGAATTACCCTTGAAACTTAAATGCCGGAAGACACACGTGTGTCGTGTTTGTGTGTTTATGTGTACCAGATGAGTGTGTGTGTTGGTGCACATGTGTACATATGATTGTCCTTTTGCGTAGTCTTCCTCCTCCCACCAGACACTCACTTGATCTTGGAGGCTGAGAGGCTCCCGGTAGAGGCACCATACACTGCCTCCCACCTCACCCACACCTTGCATACGCACTCTTGGTATAACACGCAAGTAACTTACTACCAGACAGACAAACACAGCAGATGGAAGTGACGAGGGGGGGGGGTGAATACAAGAGGCGGCAGGGTGAAGGAGGTGGGAAGGATGCCCGGAGAAGGAGAGTAGGGTGAAAGGTGGGGGGAAGGAGGGGACCTGATCGTCTGGGGGTTTTCGTGTGGGGTCTGGTGAGGGCCACGTGGTCGGCTGGTCCTCCCAGGTCTGCATAGCGCGTCCTAATTCCTCCCATTGAAGGCCCCTCGACCCTCGGCCCTTGCCTTGTTACCAGGGTAGTGGAGCTCCTGGGGGCTGACTCAACACCACCATCACCACACGTTTGAAGTCTTCTTTGCTTTCATTAATGTTATTTTTTAAACACGAAATAATGTATGCCAATTCTTCCTAATACCTGAGGTAGTAAAAGGTCATCCCTCACTTTTCGTGAAATTTCCGTGTGGTAAGGGAGGTGAGTTACGCTGGCAAGATACCTTATTACTTCACAATTTCCTCCGTAAATCCCCAGTAACTCCCCGCTACGTAACGCAGATATGATCACGGGCCAGGGGGGTACAAAAAATAAACGCGCTTATTCTTCATAGATTCAACACAACACCACTGTCAGCACCACCGAGGAACTGCTGGCACCTCATGTTTACTAACACTCAAGAAATAAAGCTCATGTCATACTACCAATGCGTGAACGTATGGATTTACTAAGAAACCGCTAGCATCCGGCGAATTATCGTACCGGGTAAAGTCCTTGAATTTACCGGGGAGATAAACTCTTGGAAATCGGAAATTCCACGAAATCACACAGGCTGGGGTCTTCCCGCCAACGCGAGCGAGGGACCTTGCTCACAGTGGGTGCTGCCATCTGTAGCTTACACACCACACTACACTCCCGCTCGCCACACTGTGATTTAACTCCAAACTTAAGTTCTAATGGGGGCTAGAGGCAGGTAAATAAATTGTATCGATTCTTGACTTAGTTTTAATGGACTTAGCAAGAATGCATTGTTTTCCTACCACAGCGGGTTTCTTTGGTACTTTAAACTTTTAAAACACAACTATTATAGGGAAGAAAACATGCTAGTACGGGTATTGTATTTCAAAGGTAGCTCTGAATATAGTTCTAAATTTGCATTGTTTTATAGTCCTTTCATTAACTCCCTTGGTATCAGACTTAAACTAGCATCGCTAGATTATGAAATTGTTATTATTTTCGTGGCTCTGTTCTGATTTGACCGATTCATCGCATCAAGCATCGTGTTTGGGGATCCCAAGTGAGGGTGGCGGGAGGCTCTGGCTGGTTAAGTCATGTAGTGGCAGGTGGAACGTTCGTCTCCATAGTGATAGATGGAGGAGCTGCTCTAAGTTATACACACCACGCCACCGAGGCCCACCCGAGCAGGACACAGGCTGGATCATTTGAAACTACTATACAGTGTAGGTAATGATACACTAATTTACCTGAGGTGACAGACTTTTAATATGGTCCCAAAACACTATTGGAGACGCATAATAAACAACACAATTCGAAATTATCTCATTTGACTGATCGCAATGTACTTCCATGATAGTGACACCCCCCCCCCCACCATCACGGTGAAGAAGGGCGTCATCCTCCCAAGACTTAGGCCTCTCCAAGTGACTCGATTGCCCGACATGATTCACACTCGAAGACGTGGCGGCGGGTGTAAGTTGTGAGTCATGGGGGGCCTTTATAAGTTGATTTGACTGTATTGGGTATTGTTCAGGTGAAGTAATAGAAGGTGTGTAGGTGGGAGGGATAGGAATTGTACGTGGTTGATGGAGGATGTGCAGTAGGTGGAAGGAAGTGGTAATACGTATAATAGAATAGAAGAAAAAGGCCCACAATGAGGGTATAATGTGGCCATTTTTACTGTTTAAGCTGCACTAAAAACACAGGTGAGATTGACAGTGAATTTTTACAGGTGTGATGGCGGGTCAAGCTGCCGTGTCAACATATTAGCCTAAATTCTAAACACTATGTCAGAGTGTAAGGATAATTAACCCATTACGAGCTATAGATTCTTGTGAGTTAATAAATAATATGAATCAAACTTATGTAAAACTATAACTAAATTTAATATGAATAGAATTAAATTACTGCTCATACACACACACTCCCCCACCCTCTCTCGTAGTTAAATCAAATTAATTCTTTCCTTTTCAATTAACCATCTCTCACCCTCTCCCACCCCCCTCCCCCCCACCCACTTCCTTCCCAACATCTTTTTTTTTATATTCCGCCATCTCAATATCGTCTCAAAGTAATATATCCTCCGGGAGATATGTTTGGTGAGGCCAGGAGACAACCCACCGAACAGTATCTCTCCAGCCTCACACACCACAACAAAAACAGGAGATGGGGGTGGGGGAGTGGGAAGGGGGGGGGTGGGGGAGGAGGGGGTGGGGGTTTGTGGTATGTTGTATCCCGTGCTGACGTGATAAAATGACAAGGTTGTTAACTTTTTTTTTTACTCACCTCCGCCCGTTCTCTCTCTCTCTCTCTCTCTCTCTTTGTTGTGTTTTTTATATTATTCTTACTTTTTTCTTCTTTATATTTATCATTATTTTCTTTTCCTGTTTTCTTTCGTCTTTAAATCATTCATCCTTTTCCTTATTGTTTTGTTTTTATAATTCGTTTCCTTCCTTTCTTATTTATTTATTTATTTATTTGTAAGTTGCATCATGTCATAAACGTTCTCAGTCAACCACATTAGTTCATTTGTGGTTGTCATAAACGTTCTCGGCCAATCACATCATAGTTCTTTTGTGGTTGTCATAACTTCTCCACCAATCATCTTTAATCTACCCTACACTTAACCAAATTAACCTTCTCTCTAACCTAACCTACCGGATTCTCAGACAGTCATACGATAAATATTTCCAATTACTGATGATGTAGGCGAGGAAAGGGATGTTAAAATAGAGCCGTTCTTCCATCGTTACTCGACCGTAGACGGAAGTAATGTCTTAACCAACGAGTTATGGGGATAAAAAAAAATTAAAAGGACTGGACTCTGATAGTGATTATGTGACTTATATGTTACTAGCCAAGAGATGTATAATGTATATTTTTCAACTGATATACACTGTTTCAATGCACCTTACGAAGCACATAACACGAGGTCGCACAGCCATACAGGCAGTACTCACAACACGACACTGCCCCGGTATAACCTTGACATATTGATATATTTTACCTTTGAACTATATTTTCCAACATAATAGGTATCAGTTCTCTCTCTCTCTCTCTCTCTCTCTCTTGCCTGTAGTCATCATCATCCAGCATTGAAGTATCATATCAGGTTTCATTATATTAGCTCGCTGCGTACTTTGACAGGCATAAAGACAGAAGGTAGTGTTTACAATATTCCTGTCCCTCCTGTGTGATGATAGGTAAGAACGTGGCTGTAAACAGACTAACCGACACACAGACAGACAGACAGATAGACAGACATGCTAATTTTGTTGGAAGTGATAATTAGGCGTACATATTTATTCCTTGTGTGTTTGTTTGTTTGTTTTTAACTGAATGGTTCAGTTGTTTCTATCGTTGCAAATTCTCACACTTTCTCCTGTGCTGATAGAAATATGTTTGTTTGTATACCAGCGTCAGTAATTAACATCTTCAGTAGTCAGCAGTTCGGTGTG